AATGTGAAGCAGTTAGGCAAGGTAACAGAGGTAGAATTCAGAGTTATGATCTTGAGGAAGCTAAATAGCATGAGTAAGGACACAGAGATGTTGAAAATCAACCAATTGAAAATTAAAAACCACCAAGAAAAAAATCAAGAATGACATGTCAGAAATAAAGAACACATTGGAAGGTCTAAACACCAGAGTAGAGGAAACTGAAGATGAGATCAGTGAATTAGAAGACAGGGTAGAAAAATTCAACCAATCACAAAACCAAAAGGAGAAAAACAAATAAAAAGCAGGAAGACAGCTTAAGAGAACTGTGGGACAACTGAAAACATAATAATATTTGCATCATAGGAGTCCTCGAAGAAGAAAAAAATGAGCAAGGGTTAGAGAATATATTCAAAGAAATAGTGACAGAAAACTTCCCTAATTTGGTGAAAAAAGAAAGCATTCAAGTTCAAGAAGCACAGAGAGCCCCAAGTAAGAAGAACCCAAACAGGCCCCAACCAAGACACATAGTAATTAAAATGCCAAAAATTAAAGACAAACAGAGAATCCTAAAAGCAGTAAGAGATAAGCAGCAGGTTACCTACAAAGGAACCACCAAAAGGCTCTCAGCTGACTTCTCAACAGAAACAATACAGGCCAGAAAAAAATGGCATGAAATAATCAAGGTCATGAAAAACAAGGATCTGATTCCAAGACTACACTACCCACCAAGGTTGTCGTTCAAAATAGAAGGTCAAATAACGAGCTTCCCAGACAAAAAAAAAAGATTAAAGGAATACATTAGCACCAAACCAGTACTGCAAGAAATGTTAAAAAGCTTGCTGTAATTAGTAGAAGAAATTGAAAGAAAAATAGAACCAAACGAAACAAAAATGGCAATATATTACTACATATCAATTATCACCTTAAATGTGAATGGATAGAATGCTCCCATAAAAAGACACAGAGTAGCTGATTAAATAAGAAATCATGACTCATCTATATGTTGTTTAAAAGAGACCCACCTCACAACAAAAGACTCACATAGGTAGAAAGTGAAGAGATGGAAAAAAACCTTCCAAGCAAAGAGAAAAGAAAAAAAAGGCTGGGGTAGCAATACTCATATCTGATAAAATAGATTTCAAAATGAAGGCCATAACTAGAGACAAAGAAGGCCACTACGTAATATTGAAAGGATCTATCCAACAGGAAGATATAACCTTGATAAACATATATGCACCCAATATAGGAGCACAAAAATATATAAAAAATCTTCTGGAGGACTTCAAAGGAGATATCGACAGCAATACAATCATAGCAGGAGACATCAACACCCTGCTGACATCACTGGATAGATCCTCTAGAAAAAAAAAATTAGCAAGGAAACAGAGACTCTAAATGAAGCACTAGACCAAATGGATTTAATAGATATCTACAGAGAATTAAACCCCAAAACTACAGAATTCACATTATTCTCAAGTGCACATGGGACATTCTCAAAGATAGACCACATGTTAGGACACAAACTAAGTCTCTACAAGTTCAAGCAGATTGAAATCGTATTAAGCATCTTCTCAGATCACAATGGCATGAAACGAGAAATCAACTGCAACAAAAACATGCAAAAACATTTGAACACATGGAGTCCAAATAGCACGTTATTAAACAATGAATGGGTTACCATAGAGATCAACGAAAAAATTAAAAACTTCCCGGAAACCAATGAAAATGAACACACAACATGAAATCTATGGGATGCAGCAAAAGCAGTTATGAGGGGGAAGTTGATAGCACTACAGGCCTACCTCAAAAAACAAGAAAAAATCTCTAATAGATTATCTAACCTCACAATTTAAAGAACTAGAGAGCAAACAAAAAGAAAACACCAGAGCAAGTAGAAGGAAGGAAATAGTAAAGATCAGAGCAGAAATAAACGACATAGAGTCCAAAAAAACAATTCAAAGGATCAATGAAACAAAGAGCTGGTTTTTCGAAAAGATAAACAAGATTGATGGAACCTTACCTAGACTCACCAAGAAACAAAGAGAGAGAACCCAAATACACAAAATCAGAAATGAAAGAGGAGAGGTAACAACTGACACCACAGAAATACAAAGTATTGTTAACAAATACTATGAACAATTATATGGTAACAAATTTGACAATCTAAGCTAAATAAACAAATTTCTAGAAACACACAGTCTCCCAAAACTGGACCGGGAAGAGATAAAAAACTTAAACAGACCCATAACAACTAAGGAAATTGAAGAAGTAATCAAGACTCTCCCAGCAAACAGAAGCCCAGGCCCGGATGGCTTCACGGGGGAGTTTTACCGAACATTCAAAAAAAGAACTAACACCCATTCTCCTCAAACTATTTTAAAAAATTCAAGAAGGAATACTTCCAAACTCATTTTATGAGGCCAGTATAATTCTTTTTTTCTTTTTTTTTTTTTTTTTATCCTCATCCGAGGACATTTTTCCATTTTTTGTACAGACAGAGTGGGAGGGAGAGAGAGAAAGAGAGAGAGAGGGAAACATCGATGTGAAAGGGACACATCGAGTGGCTGCCACCCGCACGACCAACCAGGGCCGGGGACAAACTGCAACCAAGGTACGTGCCCTTAGCGGGAACCGAACCCGGGTCTCTTCAGACCGCAGGTGGACGCTCTAACCGCTGAGCCAAACCGGCCAGGGCGAGGCCAGCATAATTCTAATTCCAAAACCAGAAAAAGACACTACAAAGAAAGAAAACTACAGGCCAAAATCCCTGATGAACATAGACGCCAAAATCCTGAACAAAATACTAGCAAATCGAATCCAGCAATACATCAAAAATATTATTCACCATGACCAACTGGGATTCATCCCACAGATGCAAGGCTGGTACAATATTTGCAAATCAATAAATGTGATATACCACATAAACAAAATGAGGAATAAAAACCACATGATCATATCAGTAGATGCTGAAAAAGCATTCGAGAAAATCCAGCATCCATTTGTGATAAAAACACTCAGCAATGTGGAAATAGAGGAATCACATCTCAACATAATAAAGGCCATATATGAAAGACCAACAGCCAACCTCATCCTCAGGGGGCAGAAACTAAAAGCATTTCCCTTAAGAACAGGAACAAGACAGGGATACCCACTTTTGCCACTCTTATTTAACATAGTACAGGAAGTCTTAGCCATAGCAATCAGACATGAAGAAAAAATAAAAGGGATCCAAATTGGAAAGGAGGAAGTGAAACTGTCATTATTTGCAGATGACATGACATTATACATAGAAAACCCTAAACAATCCATCAAAAATTTACTAGACTTAATAAATAAATCTGGCAAAGTAGCAGGATACAAAATTAATGTCAAGAAATTGACACCATTCTTATACACCAATAATGAACTCACAGAAAGAGAGACAGTAAAAAATCCCATTTAGCCGCCCTGGCCGGTTTGGCTCAGCGGTTAGAGCGTCGGCCTGCTGTCCTGAGAGACCTGGGTTTGGTTCCCGCTAAGGGCGCATACCTCAGTTGCAGTTTGTCCCCGGCCCTGGTCGGTTGTGCGGGTGGCAACCACTCGATGTGTTCCTTTCACATCGATGTTTCTCTCTCTCTCTCTGTTCCTCTGTCTCCCTCTCACTCTACCTGAACAAAAAATGAAAAAATGTCCTCGGGTGAGGATAAAAAAAAAAAAAAAAAAAAAAAATCCCATTTACCATCGCAGCAAAAAAATTAAGATACCTAGAAATAAACTTAACCAAAGAAGTAAAAGACCTTTTTGCCTCTTGATTACCTCTTCAATTTCCTTAGTTGTTATTGGCCTGTTGAAATTTTCTATCTCTTCCCGGTCCAGTTTTGGGAGACTGTGTGTTTCTAGAAAACTACAGGGCATTGAAAAAAGAAATATAGGAAGATATAAAAAAAGTGGAAGCACATACCTTGTTCATGGATTGGAAGAATTAACATCATTAAAATGTCCATAGTACCCAAAGCAATCTATGGATTCAATGCAATCCCCATCAAAATATCAATGACATACTTCACAGAACTAGAACAAACACTTCAAAAGTTCATATGGAAACAAAAAAAACTGCAAATAGCAACAGCAATCTTGAAAAAGATGGACAAAGTAGGTGGGATCACAATACCAGATATCAGGTTATACTACAAAGTGACTGTAATCAAAACAGCCTGGTATTGGCACAAGAACAGTACCTTTTCTCCACACCCTCGCCAACACTTGTTGTTTGATGATTTGTTAATGGCAGGCATTCTGACAGGTGTGAGGTGATAATTTATTGTTGTTTTAATTTGCATCTCTCTGATGATTAGTGATCATCTTCATATGTCTTGTGGCCATTTGTATGTCCACGAGTGGAACAGAATAGAGAACCCAGAAATGGACACAAAGCAATACGCTCAATTAATATATGACAAAGGTGGCAAGAGCATACAGTGGAGTAAAGACAGCCTCTTAAATAAATGGTGTTGGGAAAATTGAACAGCTCTATGCAAAAAAATGAAACTAGACCATTAACTTACACCATACACAAAAATAAACTCAAAATGGATAAAAGACTTAAATGTGACTCGTGAATTCATAAAAATTCTAGAAGAAAATGTAGGCAACAAAATTTCAGACATCATACACAGCAGAATTTTCACTGATACATCACCTAAGGCAACAGAAACAAAGGAAAAAATGAACACGTGGGACTACAGCAAACTCAAAAGCTTCTGCCCAGCAAAAGAAACAACCATCAAAATGGAAAGGCAACCCACTGTATGGGAGAACATTATTGCCAATGATACATCAGATAAGGGGTTAATCTCCAAAATATATAGGGTACTCATCCAACTCAACAAAAGGAAGACAAAGAACCCAATTACAAAATGGGCAGAGGAGCTGAATAGACACCTCTCCAAACAGGACATACAAATGGCCACGAGACATATGAAGATGATCACTAATCATCAGAGAGATGCAAATTAAAACAACAATAAATTATCACCTCATACCTGTCAGAATGCCTGCCATCAACAAATCACCAAACAACAAGTGTTGGCGACGGTGTGGAGAAAAGGGGACTCTAGTACACTGCTGGTGGGAATGCAGACTGGTGCAGCCACTATGGAAAACACAATGGTGTTACCTCAAAAAATTAAAAATTGAACTTCCATTTGACACAGTGGTCCCACTTCTAGGAATATACCCTAAGAAGCCTGAAACACCAATCAGAAAGAATATATGTACCCCCATGTTCAGAGCAGCACTATTTACAATAGCTAAGATCTGGAAACAGCCCAAGTGTCCATTAGTAGACAAATGGATTAAAAGCTGTGGTACATATACACAATGGAGTACTATGCAGAAGTAAGAATGAAAGATCTCTTATCCTTTGAGACGACATGGAGGGACCTGAAAAGTATTATCGTAAGTGAAACAAGCCAAGCAGAAAAAAACGAATACCACATGATCTCACTTATTTATGGAATATAACAAACATAACAGTCTGAGGAATAGGGTAGATCCAGAAACATGGAAGTAGGGTACAGACTGACAACCCTCAGAAGAGGGGATGGTGGGGCGAGGGAAGATTCAAACCACAGAACTTATATGCATGTATGCATAACCAATGGACATGGACAACGAAGTTGGGGACGGGCGGGGGGGGATGGGGAGGAGGATGTCAATGGGGTAAAAAAAGGAGAAACATCTGTAACAAAAATGAAATTAAAAATAATAAGAATAAAAAGAAAGAAATAATGTACAAATGATGTACACCCCCACAGGCAAGTTAAAGGAGGTGTTATATATTTTAAGGATGGGTTTCCCTCCATTCCCATTACCTGTTTGGTTTTGCGGAAAGTTTCCCAGAGTAGGAAGTTAGCACAGAGTAAGCGGCTCCCCTATCAAGAAGAAAATTAACAGATCTACTCGCCACATCTAGGGTCACCCTTGACTCTGTCCTGGTAATGCTGATGGCTTCAGTGGGAATTGGCAGAGATTGAGGGCTCTATCAATTCAAGGTCATTAAGAAGTGGGAATCTGACCCAGAGGCCTTCTAGCTCTCAGGGTAATCTTGTTTCCAGTAACCTATCTTGTGACATGGAGGGCAGGGCTCCACTAGAGTCATTCTGTGGGCATTCTAATCTCCAATGCCCAGGCTTCCCTTATCAGTGACAAGCACAAGGAGGACATTTTTGTCTCTGGCCCAAGCCTTAGGAAGACTTTCCCTGCTATTTCCAGTATCCCTGTAATGCAGCTAATAATTGTGCCTGCTATTTCTCCTGTTTCTCTTGTGTCCGGGTCCTCTCCTCCTCCTCTCGGACTTGATTGTAAAAGACCCTGTCAGTTAAAGTATCAGCAAGGGGTATGGAAGGTCCCATCCCCAATTTATGAAATTTCCTTCTCATGTCTGAGGCAGACTGGGTTATAAATTTGTCCTTTAGCACTATGGATCCTACTAGGAGGTCACTGAGATCCAGGTAAGTGAATTTAACAATCGTCTCTCTTAGCCTTTCTAAAAAGGCTGTAGGATTTTCCTGAGGTCTCTGGTCAACTGTGGCCAATTTATTATAACTAACTGATTTTTTTCTTTGCTCCCTTCAGTCTCTGAAGTAAACAATGTAACATATGGTTCCGAGACCATATGTCTTTTTCAGAATTGTAGTCCCATTTTGGATCATCCCAAGGGATAGCTTCATTTCCCAAGGACAGTCCAGATTTTCAGCATTTAATCCAGTAGCATATTCCCTTCCAGTTCTGCAGACCATATCCTTCTGAGCCAATTAATGCCTCATGTAGAAGGAGATTAATGTCCCTCCAGGTGGACTAAAAGTCAGGGTGACTTTTCTCCATTCACTTATAAATTTGTCAGGGTTGTCCATGAAGCTTCCCACCTTTTCCTTGTCATTAAATCTTGCAGAGTAAAGAGAACTTGTACTCTAATTACTTTTTTGTTTTTGTTTTTTTATCCTCACCCGAGGACATTTTTCCATTTTTTGTTCAGATAGAGTGGGAGGGAGAGAGAGGAAGAGAGAGAAACATCAACGTGAAAGGGATACATTGAGTGGCTGCCTCCCACACAACCCATCTGGGGCCAGGGACAAACTGCAACCAGGGTATGTGCCCTTAGCTGGAACCAAACCCAGTCTCTCTGGACCGCAGGCCGACGCTCTAACTGCTGAGCCAAACCAGCCAGGGTTCTAATTACTTCTTGATGTCCCATTGCCTCTTGCAATGTGAAGAGACCCTTTGGTGAGATTCCTGGGTATGGAGGGGCTGGGCACCCTGAAATGTAAGGTGGGTTGGTTCAGGGGGTGTTGCCTTAGGAACTTCTAGCATGGCTGTCTCCTCCTTTCAGGGGGTGTTGGGACCATGGGTCATTACAGCAAGCATAGTGGAGTCTATTTTGCAACCCTTACATGGACTGGGGTCATTTTGTAGAGCCATGAAATCTTGGACATAGGGCACCTCTGTCCACTTGCCCTGTTGGTGGCAGAATAAATCAAACTGTAACATTGTATTGTAATTTACACTGCCATTTTCAGGCCATGTTTTCTGATCCTCTCATTTATATTGTGGCCAGGCTGTGTTGCATAAAAAGATTAATCTCTTTCTTTTTTGAGTTTGGGGGTCAAACTTATCCCAGTTCTTCAAAATGCATCCCAAAGGTGAGTCTTGGGGAATAGAGGTGATAGTTCTCATCTGTAAGAGAATAAAGGGAAAAAATACTAGACTCCAGACCTCAGACTAGCTAGCCTTACCATGCATCTGTGTTATAGAAAAAGCCAGAATCCCGTATTCTGAGAGTGATGGCCAGTCACAGAGAGGACCTACTCCACTCAGACATGGGACTTTTTCTATTCTGCTGAAGGATAGGTGTACTTATCTCCTAGCCACCCCAGACCTTGAACTAGCATGCCTTACTGTGTGGTCCATGCACCTCCCTGCACAGGGGCTGACTCTATCTCTCTTAAGTTGCCACCACAATTTTTGTACTTTTCTGAAAGGTGCACTCCTGCATGTTGGGCTTGCTGTGTTTTCTGATTGTATGCTCTATTGCTCTGCCACGCCCATGGCCTTGTAAAAATTTATAGACAACTGATCTAGCCAATTGGTTTAATGAAGGGACTTGCCCCTGATTCCAAAAGGTTTTATAAAGAGAGGGAAAGAAGTTAACCCAGGAGGTGTGGGCACTGGAGGAAAGATAAACTTGCCACTTAGTCTGAATTATTTCCCCTGCACCTTCATCTCTGGGCCTCCAGGGTCTCATGCATGTTAAATGCCTAAAGAAATGAAGGAGGCCATGTTCACTCAAAAGAAAGGTGGGGCCCTAGCCAGTTTTGCTCAGTGGTCAGGGCATCTGCCTGTAGACCAAAGAGTCACAGGTTCAATTTCGGCTAAGGGCACATACCTCGGTAGCAGTTTGGTCCCTGGCCCAGGTTGGGGTTGTGTGGGAGACAACCAATCAATGTCTCTCTCACATCAGTGTTTCTCTCTCTCTCTCTACCTCTCTCTCTCTCTCTCTCTCTCCTCTCTCTCTCTCTCCCTCCTTCTCACTCTATCTGAAGATAAATGGAAAAATAATATCCTCAGGTGAGGATTAAGAAAAAGGAAGAAAGGTGGGGAGCCTAGAGCCAGAGTGACTCCAAAGATTTCTCTGTAGTTGCAAACCAAACATCTGTTTTCTATTTCTGAGATGCCCTTATTCCTTGCCCAAGGAAAAGGCTTCTATAGTTTCCTATCATTTTCAGTCTATCTTTTGTGACATATGCAACAATATCCCTAAGTGCAATTTTTAGAGAGGAAGGTGAGAATATAGATCAAGAAGTCCAGTTGGGCAGGCAAGGCACATCAAATCATAACCACAATTAATGTTTTGCCCTGCCGACTCTGGACATAGAGCAAAAGCAAAATAGCCTTGTCTCCAACATTGTGATCAGAGGACTTACAGTTTTGAAATCTGAAATTTGAGTCATAGCACCAAGATGTCAGTGGTGGTTAAGGGGGGTCTCTAGTCGGAGATAGCCTCTGGCCAGAGACAGTACTCTGCACCCCCAGTTCTTGTCTTGCTTATAGGAATTAATTCAAACAAGAGAAAACAAGTAGCAGCAAAAGCAGGCAAGAATTTATTCACAGGAAAAGCAATACATTCAGATAGAACATGAGTGGGCAACTCAGCCAAAACGAAACCAAGTGTCCTGAGCAGGCAGCTCATCTGGCCGAGATCAAACCCGGTGCCCTGATATTTGGGAGTTCAGAAGATTTATGCCCCTAGGCAAGGAGCAAGTCACCCACTCCCTCATGACTCAGAAAAAAGTATCTTTGAACTCTAAGGCTCCTTCACCTGGATGTTATGGCACTGGTTAGACCACATCCTGGAGAGGCCCTGAGTCTTCTCCTCACAGAGGGCTCTGCTGCTTCCATTGCCTGTGTTTGGTTTGTCACAGCTGACACATATTCTAAGCCCAAGCTGCCTGTCCCAGCTCATATCTTTCTATCTGCCTACTCTAATGGAATGAGTTTGATATTGCAGCAAGTTAGATTAATCATTTACCATGGATATAGATTTGCTGTGGGGCAAATCTCTATTCTCAGTGAACTCCAAAAAACAGGTTTGAAATCATCACAGAGGAAGATTTAGAGGCTATTTTCCCTGTTACTATTGAATTCTTCTATTATAGTAGTGTCCCCAGAGCTTCTCTGTCTGTAACACAATTATAGCTTTTAAAAAGTGTAGGAAAGGGGTAAGTCAAGCAATTGGCAAAAGTGAAGGTCCTCTTGTGGAGGCAACAAAATATAGGATTTGTGAGCATTTTCTGCTACTGACCAGTGAGTGAAAAAATAAATGTATTTGGAGTTAAAAAGCTCAGGCACCCACAAATGTATAATTTCAAGTTCAAAATACCTTGTCCAGTACAGCTAGTGGGCCATTAAAAGTGCCCATTTAGGTAGAGCATGAGGTTGGTGATGGGAAACAGTGCTGTGCATTAATGAGCTGGACACCTAATGGGGCAGGAGGTGGAAAATATTTTCATTGGTACCAGTAATA